TAATTGAAGGCCCAAATTTCAACAGTTTGAAGTGGCAGCATCAGCTCTGCAAGAATCCGAACCATAAGCCTGGCATATTAACTCTGTTTGTGGACCATTTGTGTGTAACTGATAACCTTGTGTGTGCTGTTCCACCTTCACATTCAAATGGTCCAAGGGCTCCGTCTTCTGTAATTAATCCACTTTTGAACGCTGTTCCAGCTTCACGGTCAAATGGTGCAGGGGCTCCATCTCCTGTAATTAGGCCGCTTCTGCTTTTGCGTGCTATTCCTAACCCTATGGGTCCCACTTTTGAGGGCTCATGCTGTAAGCTATAATATACAAGAGAAAACCTATTCAATTGGGGTTGTTACAACTATTAAGAGATGTCAGATTGACTTTTGTCCTTTTTCGTGAAGGCATTTCAACCAGATCCAGGTTCTCCTTCCCTTGATGAATGGATGACTAATCTGTCTTCAGATCCTCACCCTTCAGCTTCTGCTGGTTCAACTGGTTTCAATATCCAGGATTGTTCTGGTATTAATAGATTGTAGACTTTTTCCATTTGCTAATAAGTTGGAACATGTCTTTGATTGACATGTTAGTCAGATTACAGCAGGTTTTGTAGATAAAAACATGAAAATAATTATTTCTACCCCTCCTCCATCTCTTTGTAACTAGCTCTTAATTTACACCTTTTTATCCATGCTAATGCTAACTTACTTTCTAACAGATATATTGACGCATTTAAGGATGCCTGTGAATAACCCAGTTGAGGACTACCAAAATGATGATCCTGAACAAGTCTTAAAAAGAACAAGACCTTCGGGAAGATCAAATGAAGTATGGAATTGCCATCTTTAATTCCTTATCTTTTAAGAAGGATATCTCTATTTCTGAACCTCTGATTAATTTCTTTGACACGATGGTTAAATAACATTTTGCATATTTTTTATTTAGGCTTGCACAGCTTAGGTGCATTTCATAATATTGCATTTAATATTAGTTCTGGTGTGCATTACTATGACTTTTTAGTTTGCATTTTCTATATTTTCTTTGTGATCTTTTTCTACTTCAATTTCTTGAGCATGAAGATAGTCAAAGTTTGGTAGATTGGAAGAGCAAAGTTGCAGATGAGTCCTCTGAGAAATCCATTATTTGGAAACTGAAAGAAGTGAATGATCCGTCATCGTGTCGTTCGTTGAGACTTCCAGATAGTTTAGTGTCTACGAGGGTAATAGTTAACTCAGCTATCAACCATTTAAAATGCCTAGTTATTGCAGAGAAACGGATTTAATTTTGACCAGTTTGTACTTCAATCAATTTCATACAACCTGCTTTATATCTCAATCCCACATCCCCACCTCTCTCATATAAAACATTACAAACACACATGCATCGCTCTACTTTATGTAATTATGTACTTAGTCATGTTGATAGGAAAATATCAAAACTTTTGACATGAAGTTAAAATAACAATGATTCAACTTCTTGAATTGTTTTTTAGTAGTGTCTTTGACCTCTAGTAATTTGACAGTTGGAAAAATATAATTTATTTTCAACATCAAGGTTCTTACAAACTTCACCACACTCGGGTTTCGTCAATTTTGTGCTGTCTCAAAGCAACAGGACACCCTAGTGTAGCCTAAGATATAGCTAAAAGAACTCGCAAGATAATGAAGAAACTTTTACGTTGTTTAATAAAATAATATATTCCTTAACTTGAGATTGCTTTCGATTTAATCTAGTTTTTGTTAATGATTTATGATTTTTTATGTCATAGTTAACACCTATTTCTGGTTTCTATTTGTTACTCTGACTCGTGTGAGGCCTCTCAGTTCTATTCTATCAATTTATTAGGTTTCAAGGTTGATGTATGCCAATTCAGGAAATGTCATAATGTCTCTATATGCCAATGCTGTACACAAACTCTGGAAATGGCCAAAAAATTATTGTAATCCAACAGGGGAGGTATTGGTCTATTTTACATGAAAGCTTCCCAAATTTCATTATTTCTATTGACACCGGTAGCTTCTTCTTAATGCAATTTGATTCTTTTAGGCAAGAACAAATACTGTGCCACAACTATGGCAGCCTTGTAGTGAGATATCAGTGACCAATTATATTAGTCTCATAAATCCTGAAGATGCGGTTCCATGCTTTGCACTGTCCAAGAATGATGCTTATGTAATATCGACGTCTGGAGGGGGAATTTCTCTATTTAATGCAATAACCTTCCAAGTAAGTGGTTTGATCTGCTCATCTCTTGCATTTATCAGTACATGTTAAATCATGAAGAGTCTTTTCTTCTCATAATGCGTTAAAACACGTTGAAAGAGTTTGATTTGGGAATTTCTGGACCAAACAATTTATTCTCCTTCTTAGACACGAGTTGCGCTCAGTTTGTTTACCTCTTAACTTTCTTGTTGTGACATTTTAAATCAATTTATTCTCTTTGGCAGACACAAGTTACACTCAACTTGTTTACCCTCTATAAGATTTTTGTTTTATCCACAGAAAATGGCAACATTCATGCCCCCTCCACCTGCAGCAACATTTCTGGCATTTCACCCCCAAGACAATAACATCATAGCAATTGGCATGGATGACTCCTCTATCCTAATATATTATGTCCGTCTTGATAAGGTAGTACCTAGTGGTGAATTTATGGCTTAAATTTGTGTGCCAAACTCATCTAACGAGTAGAGCTATTTTTCTAATTTTGCATTTCCTTTGCTCAGGTCCAAGCCAAGCTCGACGCTCATCAGAAAAGGATAACTGGTCTTGCCTTCTCTAATATTTATAATGTGCTTGTATCTGCA